TCTAGCACTATGCACTGGCATTCATTCATTTGAATGCTTTAGTGTACCAGGCACACAAAATGCCTATAAATTGTCTGCTGAATGGATGTCCAATATTCACTCATAAGGATGAATGAATTTAAAAGTAATTGCTAACACATCACTGTGCACCTATTATTACTGTTTTAACCACTTGACATCCACTAATTCTTTTAATCCATATAGAAATCCAATAAGTACTATTGCCCTCCAAGTAATGAACAAACTAAATAAAGCATAGTAGGGAAGAGACTTGCTTAAGCAGTGAATGAATAAATTCTGGATTTAAACCCAAGCAGGCTGGCTTCAGCATCTGTGTAAACACTAAACTATACTGCCCTGCTGACTAAAAATCCATATTATCTAGCAATAGACTCCCTAAGTGAAGCTCAAATAGATTCCCTAAGTGAACAGTTTTGTTACTATTTTCCCCCTCACTTCTGGCAAAATAAATACTATTTCAGATTTTTCTAATCCATTTAATAATACCTTTATGATCATTCAATTTCTTCCTCTGTGAAGTACCTATTCAGTTCCTTTGCCCATTTATTGATTGGGTTATTTGGGGTTTTTTGATGGTATGTTTTTTGAGTTCTCTGTATATCCTGGAGATTAATGATCCATATATCCTGGAGATTAATGATCCATATAAGATGCAGGTGGCAAAGATTTTCTCCCTTTCTATAGGCTCTCCCTTCATGTTCTTGTTTCCTTTGCTATGAAGCTTTTTAGTTTGATAACCATCCCATTTATCAATTCTTGATTTGACATCTTGCACTTCAGGAGTCTTGTAAGGAATTTGGTTCCTAGGCTGACTGGATGGATAATTGGGTCTACATTTTCTTCTAGTAGGTGAAGGGTCTCTGGTCGGCCTAGGTCCCTGAGCCACTTTTAGTTTTGTACAGGGTGAGAGATAGGGGTTAAATTTCAATCTACTACATATGGATTTCCAGTACCATTTGTTAAAGAGATTATGTTTTCTCCAATGTATGTTTATAGCACTTTGTCCAGTATGAGATAATTGTATATATGTGGGTTTGTCTCTGAGTCTTCTATTCTGTTCCACTGGTCTTCATGTCTGTTTTTATGCAATGCCATGCCATTTTTGTTACTATAGCTCTGCATTATAATTTAAGATCAGTTATATAATTTAAGGTTTATTTAATGGTTAACATACAAAAAAATGTTCAACATCTCTAGCAATTACAAAAACATAAATTAAAACTAGACTTAGATTCCATCTCACTCTGGTCAGAGTGGCAATTATCAATAATACAAGTAACAATAAATGTTGGTGAAGATGTAGGGGAAAAGGTACATTCATACATTGCTGGTGGGACTGCAAATTGGTGTAACCATTCTGGAAAGCAATATGGAGATTCCTCAGAATATCTGTAATGGAATCATCATTTGACCCAGTTATCCCACTCCTTGGTGTATATACTCAAATGACTTAAATCAGCATACTACAGTGACACAATTCACAACAGCAAAGCTAGGTGCCCTTTAACAGATAAATGAATAGAGTAAATGTGGTATATACACACAATGAAATATTACTCAGCCATAAAGAAGAAGAAATTGTCACATTTGCCAGTAAATGGACAGAACTGGAGACTATCCCGCTAAGTGAAATAAGCCAGTCCCAAAAAATGAAAAGGCCAAATGTTCTGATATGTGGATGCTAACATACAATGGAAGGTGGGGGTGAGGAACAGAAGTTCACTAGATTAAACAAAGGAGAATGAAAGGAATGGAGGGAGGATGGGATTAGCAATGACAGTAGAATGAATTTGACATAACTTTCCTATGTTCATATATGTATATGCAATCACTGAAATTCCACATCATGTACAACCACAAGAATGGGATCCTAATTACGATAAGTTAGATTCTACATATGTATAATATGTCAAAATACACTCTACTAGCTGGGCTTGGGGTTGCATACCTATAATCCTAGCGGCTTGGGAGGCTGAGGCAGGAGGATCACAAGTTCAAAGCCAACCTCAGCAACAGTAGGGCACTAAGCAACTCAGTGAGCCCCTGTATCTAAATAAAATACAAAATAGGGCTGGGGATGTGGCTCAGTGGTCCAGTGCCCCTGAGTTCAATTCCTGGTACTACCAAAAAAACCCAAAAAACAACAACAACAAAAAATCACTCTGCTGACATGTATAGCTAAAAAGAACACATTTTTTAAATTTTAGAAATTTGAAAAATAAAAATAAATTTCATTATAAAGCTAAAAAATAGTAATAATACCTTAATTAGCTGGCTTTTTAAAAATTTTTTAATTTGTCTTAATTAGTTATACATAATAGTAGAATGCATTTTGACATATGGTACACAAATGGAGCACAACTTCTCCTTCCTCCTGCTGAACATGGTGCAATCACACCAGTAGTACAATCATACATGTATATAGGGTAATAATGTCCATCTCCTTCCACTGGCCTTCCCATCCCCATACCCCTTCCCTTCCCCTCACTCCCCTCTGCATAATCATTGTACATTCTCCCTGCCTCGCCCCCCATTATGGATCCGCATCTACTTATCAGAGAAAACATTCAGCCAAAACATTCTTTTCGGTTTCGCTTATTTCACTTAGCATAATATTCTCCAGCTCCATCTACTCATGGGCAAATGTCATAAAGTCCTTCTTTTTAAGGCTGAGTAATAGTCCATTGTGTATATGTACCACATTTTCTTTATCCATTCATCTTTTTAAGGGTACCTAGGTAGGTTCCATAGCTAAGCTATTATGAATTGAGCTGCTATAAACATTGATGTGGCTGCATCACTGTACTAGGTTGATTTTGAGTCTTTTGGGTATAAACCAAGGAGCGGGATAGCTGAGTAAAATGGTGGTTCCATTCCAAGTTTTCTGAGGAATCTCCATCCTGGTTTCCATAGTGATTGCACCAATTGGCAGTCCCACCAGCAATGTATGAGTGTACCTTTTTCCCATATTCTCATCAACACTTATCGTACTTATATTCTTGATAATTGCCATTCTGACTTAAGTGAAATGAAATCTTATTTTTGATTTGCATTTCTCTAATCACTAGAGATGATGAACATTTTTTCATGTTTGTTGTTCGACTGTATTTCTTCTTCTGTGAGGTGTCTATTCAGTTCCTTAGCCCATTTATCGATTAGATTATTTGGGTTTTTTTTTTTTTTTTAGTTCTTTATATACCCTGGAGATAAATGCTCTATCTGAGGTACATGTGGTAAAGATTTTCTCCCATTCTGTAGGCTCTCTCTTCACATTATTGTTTCCTTTGCTGAGAAGAAACTTTTTTAGTTTGAGTCTATCTGATTTATTGATTTTACTTCTTGCACTTTAGGAGGCTGGTTAAGGAAGTTCATAAGCCAACGTGGTGGACATTTGGTCCTACGTTTTCTTCTATTAGGCGCAAGGTCTCTGTTCTAGTGCCTAAGTCTATAATCCAATTTGAGTTGATTTTTGTACAGGATGAGAGATACAGATTCATTTTTCTGCATATGGATTTCTAGTTTTCCCAGAAACATCTGTTGAATAGGCTATCATTTCTCCAATGTATGTTTTGGGCGCTTTTGTCTAGTAAGAGATAATCGTACTTTTGTGGTTTGTTTCTGTGTCTTCTATTCTGTATCATTGGTCTACATGTCTACTTTGGTGCCAATATAGCTAATTCTTTTTCTCTCTTGTTGACTGATTTCCCCTATAACCTAGTTTAGAAAAATTACTAATCTTTTACTGATATGTCTTTTCTGAAGACCTGCTATCTTACAAGCTTTATTTTGTTTATTACAAAATAAATAAGTACGGAAAAGTTTAAAATCATCCAGAGAGAACCACTATTAATATATCATATTATATTCTTCTAGGCTTATTTTTTAAACTCCCACCTTCCGCCACTATACTAAATAAAATAAGTAAAATCATCTGTATAAGAGGCACTGTACTGTCTTACTCTGACAAAAAGAAAGGAAATGAATCACTGTCATAAGACACAAAGTATTATAAGCTACTGTTCCACAATGAAAATTCTAAGAACTCTGCCTGTTACAAATAACTAAGTTTTGGCTTATACTTATCATATTCTAAAAATAAAAATATTTTCATAGGGCCTTATAAAAGTCTATAACCAGCTTCATCTTAAATGCTTACTTTGACACGAAAGTCTTTATACTAAAGAAATATGAGACAAATGAGGCTTCTTATATTTTGCTGTATATTCAGTTTTATTCTTCTATATTAAAAAATGAACTAAGATACAAGTTCTAAGTAAAAGGTGTGAACCTGAATGTTCATGCTATCCTATTTAGTATAGCAGTCCTCAGTTACATCACCTCCTTTACCATTCTGCGTCCTAGCCATTTCTAGCTCACCAACATACACCGGGAACAGTGCCACACACTACAGCCCCAGGGTTTCATGTACAATGCAAAGCAATCATCACTACCTGTTACTTACATTTCCTTTACTTCAAAATATAAATAAATGAAAGTATCCCAATAAAGCATCTGCCTTCACACAACAACTGAGGTCCAAACTATATTTTCTAAGATCCTATCTCTGATTTCTGAAAAATGTGCTTTTACCCTGTGGCTGCTAGCTGTATTTCCTACAGAACTGCCAAACTAAAGAGGCCTGTTGTAGTTGTTAAACATAAGGTAGGCATAGTAAGCTTCTTTAAAAGCCTCCTCTATAGAACACTCAATTCAGTGATTCTAGATAATATAGAAGGGTCATGTATCTTTGTAAGCCAGGGTGGTTTTTTACTCTATCTCAGTTGTTCCTAAGCCTGGAGGATCTGAAAAACAGATTGCAATTCCTACTCTCAGAAGTATACCCTCCCTCACCCACCTACTCTCCAGAAGAGTAAATTGAGTAACTCAATAGTGAAACTGAATGAAGGAAAAAAAAAAAATTAGTTTCCTAGGCGTCTACCTACTCAAAAGTATGATCCAAGCACCCTAATTTCACTTACCCTTGCATTACATATGGAAACTGTGCTGGGTCAGTTTGTGCTTGTGGAAGGGTACGCTGCCTCAATCCTTCAGAGGAAGACGCGGCAGCTAACGACAAAGTTTCTTGACTGGATGATGGAGTTGTTGATCCTGAATGATCTGAACTCTAAAACAAAAATGGAATTATTTTTTTCAAGGAAACTTAATTTATTACACTCACAAGATTACAGGCATGCTAAAAAATGTACTCATAAATACCCTCCGCAAAGTAACTGAATTTTAGAAATGACCCAATATGATTCAATCTTAATAAAACTAAAGAAGTCAGAAAGTTAAAACTGCTTAACTAAACAATATACATAAATGCATTTATCAACTACATAAAGCTGAGTAGAAGAACAATAAACAAAAACTTCATACCACATTTTTGGATTAAACTAATGAATGCAAAGTTCCTTTCATGATGCCTACACACAGAAAATGCTCAATAAAACTAATTACTAGGTCATTTAAATAGATACTATGCACCAGGTACTGTGTAACATGCTCTTGGTAACACACTAGCTTAACATGATGAGGAACAAGAAGGAATACATGATCTACAATCTGATGCTACCTCTGATATTAACAAAGACGACAACCTTAAAGATTCACTTAATCTCTCAAGAATCTCTATTTTCTTATAGAAAATGAGACTGAACCAGATTTTCAAGATTCCCTTCAGTTCTAAAAGTCTATAAGTTCACAGATGCCACAAACAAATATTGTTTTTTTACAAAATGAGTAAGATACCAAACAGGACTTTTTAATTCTCATGTTCACTGATTCAATAACCTTAACCAATATAGTGCCTAAAATATCACCTCTGTTTGTTGAAAGTAGTTTATCCAAGTGTCTTATGTAAATTTAAAACATAATTTCATTTTATATAAATTACAGTTTTTTCACTTTTGTAAAAGTTGGGTATAACATTGTTTTAACATCCTTTCAACTTTGGTGAAATTGTATTTTACCTGTACTGCCTTCCAATTGACAGAAGTCTTGGTCCCAAGCACATAGGTCTCTTGCAAAACTAACAAAAGCTTTAAGATGTTAATTCGGGGAGGAGGAGAAGGAAAAGGAGAGAACTGGGGAATGAAGTTGACCAAATTATGCTATGTGCATGTATGAATATAATCACAATGCATTCCAATTTTATATATAACTATAATGCACTGAGTAAATTAAATGGAAGATCAACAGAGTAGAGGAAGGCAATAGGGGGAGGGAGGAGAGGAAGAAGGGAGTACTGGAGAAAACTACATTATATGCATTTATGAATGTTAAAATGAGTTCCACTGTTATGTATAACTATAATGCACTAAAATTTAAAGCAATAGGGATAGGTAGAGAAGAAGGGAGTACTGGGGATAAAAATGGAGAAAACTACAATATAGGCATTTATGAATGTCAAAATAAATTCCACTATTATATATATAACTATAATGCACTAATCTTTTTTAAGATTAAAAAAAATTATGCTACTTCACACAAACTAGATACCAAATAAAGACTCCAATTATTTGGGACATAAACTTGGAAAGGCTTTTCTTGGCAAGATTTCTCACTAAAGGAACATCTTGATATAATATTCATTAATATAGTTAATAGAAGAAAAACCTAGTCATTCATCAACATAGCCTAATTTCACTAGACCTAATGACTTCTGACCTTTTAGGTAATTCTTTCGTGATTAGATTTTTAACACTTTTTTTTTTTTTCTTTAAATCCCTCTGAAGGTTTTGAGCCACAAAATATTTAGGGCGATTCAATTTAACATTCCTTTGATATTCTTTAAATTTTTCTTAACACTCTGAAAAAAAATATACATACTAATGACATGAAGTCATAGCTTAGGAATCACTAGACAAGTCAATTAAATCAGAAGGTTCTTTCCTAACAAAAATCCGAAGCAATACAACTGTGTCTAAGACTACATACAAAACTTCATGCCAATGCCAATATTTGACCCTTGGTCATAATCAAGGTAGGAAGCATATAAAGAGTCTTGGGTGTTCAGATAAAGCATATTTCCATTTGATGTAAGCTAAATTCCTATAGTTGTTACTAGAACTTACCATGCTATATTATTAAGTAGAACAACTAGAAACCTAGTTTCATAAAGAAGCAGTTTACTAGCATGTATTGGAAGATATTTCAACTAGTTATCACTCCTGCCACTCATCCCTTCTTTAAAAGTTTTGGCTAGATTCTTGATAAAAAGGAAAGTATACTTATCCAAATCATAGCTACCTGCCTGAAGTTTAAAGCAAGCTTCCACTAATCCCAATCCTCTCACTCCAAATCTATCGTTTAAACTTCAATGGAAAAATCAAAAATAATTTAAAAAAAGATATCAGTATCAATGTCTTTAAAATTTGTAGAGACGGTTAAATTGAAAAGTTCAAATATTACAAAAATTTTCAAAACAATTTTAGACAGATGGAAAAACAGAGAGATAAATAAACCAAGTCTGAAATAGGTAAAATAGGTAAGTACATTAAATACTTCTTCCCCTGTAGTCTGAATGTATGCCCAAATCCAGTGATTTAAAATAAAAATACATACAAAATCCTTGATCAATTACTATTTCAAGAAGATTTAAGGTATTTGCAAATTTAAACAATTTAACCTACCTTGAACAAATACATTAGATACATTATTTTGTTGAAATTTCACTGGCCTGAAAATCTATATAATATAACCATTTCATAATTCTGTTTTCTCAGTATTTCAGTCATTAATTAAACTGTGAAGATAGGCTCTATTAATGCCTGCCATTCAGTAAATTATAACCCATAGTAAATAGGATTCTAAAAACAAATTTTAAATGCCATATTCCAATCATTCAAAAAACAATCTCAAAACCCACAGGTTACATCTCTTCTGTTTTCCATTTAGATTTTGAGAGGCAAAGAAGAAGAAGAATCAGAAAACTTCAATGTTTACTCCTCCTAAAACAACTCACAGAATTGCTGCTGGATGCCAACGCTTCCCGACTTTCTCTGTTGGTACTGGATTTTGGAGAACTGGGAGGAGTCCGAGAAGTACAAACTAGATGAACCATATGATACTCATCTTGCTAAAATTAAAGAAGATTACATATTTAAAAGGGAGTCCTAGAAAATATAATTCAAAAATGTTAGTACCTAACCTAAAATACTTAAAACTTATATTCCTTTCTAGTCTAGCCAGTTATTAGTAATAAACTGTTGTCATTTGAAGGTAACTTTGCCATTTTAATATTTGAATTAATTATATAATTCAAATATTGAATTCAATATTTTCCCTCCATGTCTGAAAAATAATCTAAGTATGTGCTATATTAAAAAATTATTATTTTGCATTCCAAGCAGTCTTGAAGCAAACAATGCTATAAAGTTGGGAGAACGGAATCTATTATTTCAATATATAAAAGAAATAGCACCTTAATATCAGAACTGTTAAGAGTCACCATGAAGCTTAGACCTACCAACTTTCAATAGTGAAATTATTTCAACTACTTTAGAGTTAGCACCCATAAAAGAAACTCAAATAACTTCATCGTAGTTTCATTTGTCTTAATTTTAGCTGTTGTTGAAATGTGCCCAATTTTTAAGTCAAACATTTTTTATCTGGAACAATTATACGTATGTTTAAACTCTGTTCTATAAACATTCCATGTGTTTCCACAAACCTACAACTGAAGGAAAATATGCTAAACAATGATTAAGCATAGCATTTAAGCTTAGTTCATGCATATTTTACACTCAGACAAAGCTAGTACAAGATGAGGAAAAAATAAAGGTCAAAGAAGAATGATGCATTAGCAATTTAAAAAGAAGAAGATGAAAACAACAACAACAGAATGATAAAAAGAGGCAGAAAGAAAACAAGAGATTTTTAGTGGTGAGAAAGGGAAGCAAAACTACTAGAAACTAAGAACTGATTATCAACTGCCTACCATGAACCTAGAATCATGCTTAATGATGAGATGAACCCAAGAAAGATAAGCTCAGCCCCTTAAAAAGTCTCAAGACATTTGTTAAGAGATCAGACAACAAGTACATTAGAGCATAGTTAGAGAAACATATAAAAGAGTCTCTTGCATAAAACTTGAGAAGCACAAACTCTAACTGATTTAGGAATTCAGGGGAAGAAGTTAATGGGATTAAAATGCTAAGAAAAGACATCACAGACAGTGTGTGACATAAAATATGCTTGAAGGTGCTACTAATTTACAATGTTCTCTCAGCTTCTGAGTATGAATATCAAAAAGTATTTAAGTATAGTTTGGGCACTGTGGTACATGCCTATTAATCCCAATAGCTCAGAAGGCTAAGGCAGGAGGATTTTGAGTTCAAAGCCAGCCTCAGCAAAAGCGAGGAGCTAAGCAACTCAGTGAGACCCTGTCTCTAAATAAAATACAAAACAGGGCTGGGAACATAGTCAGTGGTTCAATGCCCCCGAGTTCAATCCTCGGTACCAAAAAAAAAAAAAAAGTATTCAAGTATAGAATGTTTACCCTTAGAAACCTAGGTTCAAATTTTTCATACTAATCATAACTCAGTGTTCATTCACTTTTGGGGAACATTTCTATAAAATATTTTATAACTAAACAAGTAAAGCTAATGGCAAAATTTAACAATGCCTTTAACAAAACCAGTTCAATGGTCTACTCAAAATGTAAACATACTGCTCAAAATGCTTGATCTAACAGTTCTTCCACTAAAGCAGTTTAATTTTTAAATCTTCTTCTCTAAAACTATTTCTGGCAGCAAAAGCCTTTTTAAAAAAAATTTTTTTTTAAGTATTTCTTTAGTTGTAGGTGACACAATATCTTTATTTTATTTATTTATTTTTATGTGGTGCTGAGGATCGAACCCAGGGCTTCGCATGTGCTAGGCAAGTGCTCTACCGCTGAGCCACAACCCCAGCCCAGCAAAAGCCTTTTAAAGAGTATTCATGTGTAGGTCCAAGCTATCCTTTAGATAAAATAGTAAAGATATCTGCATTTCAAAGCAGACAGCAGAAATGCCTATAAACAGGAAAAAAAAAAAAAACCAACCATGCAGACACAGAGGTTTTCTGGACTATTCAGCATGATGCTATAATGGAGTCATGTCATTATTCATTTGCCAAAACCCACAGAATGAATGTACACCAACAAGAGTGAATTCGAATGTAAACTATGGACTTTAAGTGATAACGTGTCAATATAGGTGCATTGATGATAACAAGTGTACTACTCTTGTGCAGGATGTTGGCACTGAGATGGGTTCATCATGTGAAAGGAAATCTCTGTACCTTCCATTCAATTTTGCTATAAACCTATTTTGCCCCCCCCGCCCCGCCAAAATAAAGTCTACTGTAAAAAGAGAAAAGAGAATCTGCCACAAAATTCCACTATTTTTGAGGGGGCAAATATTAAACCACTTTAGCTATTTGAAACTACATAATGAAAATGACTGTACCAAATCACACTGGCAAAGCTAAAATGTCAACTAAGCAGAAAAAACAACCGTATACATAAACATCACAATAAATATCAGAATAAAATGCAGATCTTCTAAATCAGATCAGGTCTATCCACAACAATATTAAGAATTATTCAAAGATCAAAAACAAAATATAAAGCTATTCAACTCTGCTATAATCACAAAAAAGTAAAATTTCAAAGTATAAATCCTACAAATAAGTATGAGCTAAAAGCTGCCATTAAAATAACTAGTATTCAAGCTCATTGTCAAAAAGATACACTGAAATAAATATATTTTAGTGATGAGGATTAGCATTCAGAGCTTGATGATGGGAACAAAAGTAGAACTTCATTCTACTTCCTATCCTGAAATGAAACTTCCAACCCAAACAATCTATTAAACTGTCATGCAGTAAAGGGTATTAGAGGAAAAATTGGTACTAGTCTTTCACTACCTACTGAGCACTCTATTCCTATACCACTTATATAAGTCATTAGTGTTTTCTTCCAAAAGATGACAAATAACAACACAAATATATAATCCTTCCTCAAATTTAGCTATCAGATGAAAATATAACACTGTTACTCAAACTAATCTGAACCTATCACACTGTTTACTTTCTAATTTATTTTACCTGTTAGGCTAAACCATAGGGGTTAATTTAAATAAAAATTGAACTAGTTGGATAAAACTGCAGAAACATCTCTCACAAAATGAATATATTTGGTTTCAAAAAGTGAAAGAAAAGCTTACTTTTCTGAGAATGTCTTTCAGCTGCAGATGATCAGGAAGCAGTCTGCCAGAATAAACCAATCTCTGATCCTTCGTCAACTATAGGATAAAGAAACGAAATCACTTTACTAATTATACAAATTTTAAGTTGGGAAAAATATGACTAAATATAGGTAATATAAAACCCCCTTTAGGGATAATTCAGCAAAAAAACTGACATAATTAATAATTTGTTTTTCTAATTTCTACTTAAGATAATTAAAGTACTCAGCAACTGGCAGCAAACCTATAATAATACAAATAATTATCATATTTTTAAATTGTGGTCCAAAGAAAGGAAAAATTGGGAATCTGTCTTTTCAACTATAATGCATGTATGACTATCATTAAAAACCTCCAATATTACATAAATGAGAAAAATGGTTGGCCTATTAACAATAGGCCAGGTATGGTGATGCACACCTATAATCTCAGAGACTCTAGGAGATGAGGCAGAGGATCACAAGTTCATGGTCAGCCTGGACAACTTAGTAAGACACTGTCTCAAAAAATTAAAAGGGCTGGAATGTGGCTTAGTGGGTGCAATTCCCGGCACATACACAAGAATATTTAAGTAGTCAATAGCAGGATAAAATTTCAAGGTCACCAGAATTATTTTGCATTGTTTTATCAGTGCTTTTAATCTAAAATATATACATAAGACTTATTTTCTTCTTTACTAACATAATGCAGAACAATTTATTGGTTTTAATTCAAAAGCCACTTGAATTTAATTACAATTTGGGTAACTATTCTAGTTTTTATTATCTCTGACACTGTGCACAAATAGCTTTATACATTTTCAGAATCACAAGACTTGAAAAACTTTAACACAAATACTTGGAGATTCAGTTGTCATCTGTATATGCAACCAGGATACAAAATATATACTGGTTAGTTCTGTCATATTTTATTCTTAATGATAAATCTGCTAATGTCTATACTGCTTGCATACTTAACATTGAAGCATCTTCATTAGATTTATTTGCCTTGAACATTCACCTGCAAATAAGCCTATTAAAACAATATCAGCTATATCAACTGTTAAATCCAAAAATCAAAATCTATAACAATTTTTAAACAGACTATATGTTCAACATGGCTATTATAAAAGACTATATGAGTAGTTACTATATATATAGTTATATATACTATAAACAGTCATAACAGAAATTATCCTACTGACTAAGGTCTGAGGTTCAGGTATCCTTATACTCCAAAGATGAAGGGAAAGGCACTGTTTGCCAAGATACTTAACTGTTAAGTACAGTTTCTCCTTTAAGTAGCCATTTCTAAAATAGGTAAATAGACACTCCATATGAAAACAACCAAATACAACATAAGAGGTTTTTTGGATAAATATCACAAGTCTCCAAAGTTCTTATTAATTCATATAAAGTCTGAGTGGGGTACCACAATGTTGTGAAATATGTATTTGGTCTTCATTCTATTTCCTTCCAATACCGCTCCTGAAATCCCTAGACTCTGCAATGATAAGTGTATCTCTTGCATGCTAAGGAATGACTGGTGGCTAGGGGTCCCTAAAGAGCTCATGTAATTAAAGAGTTAAAACTTTCAGTCTCACCCTCCAAATTCCAAAAAGAGAGGCCAAATTTTGAAATAACAAACCAATGGCCAATGATTTAATCAATCATGCCTATGTAATAAAGCACCCATAAAAGACTGTTCTGAGAAATTCCTCAACAGAATATGTTAGTAGTAGCAGTAGTTCCACTAGAAGGTGGTATGTCAGAAAGGACACAGAAGCTCTCCAACACCGCTTCTCCATATCTCCCCATATGTATCTCTTCCATCTGGTCGTTCATCTGATCCTTTGTAATATCCTTTAGAGTATATAAGTAAACATAAGTCAATGTTTCTCTTGGGTTCTGTGACCTGCTCTAGAAAATTAACCAAACCAAAAAGGGAGTCTAAAGAAACCTCATTTATAGCAGGTTGGTCAGAAATAACAAATTGTTCTCATACTAAGAATCTATAGTGGGGAGAAGGACTGAGCCCATCTCCAGACAGTGTCAGAACTCAACTGAATTAGAGGACACCCGGCTACTGTCTCCTGGAGAATTATCTACAGAGTTGCTTGCTTGCTGGTAGGGAGAAATTCTCACATTTTTTTCAGCCGAGGTCACAGAAGTATCTGTATTGTGGATGGTAGGAGAAACTGAATTTATTTTTTTGTTTTTCCCCCATACCCTTACCATCAGTGAAGTGTAAATTACATATAAGTTAAAAGCTAAGTAGATAATGAATGATGTAAACCTCTGGCAAAAATGAATTATCTAATTCTTTATAAATTTCTATAACATGATTATTGAAGGACAGTCAAGTCACAGACCTAACCAACTTCATTTTATCCCTTTCTAATTCCATTTACCTCTTTTAATTTGTTTTCCTTCTGAGCCACATTTTTTATTAAAAAAATTTTAGTTGTAAATGGACACAATAACTTTATTTATTTTTATATATGGTGCTGAGGATCGAACCCAGTGCCTCACATGTGCTAGGTAAGCACTCTACCACTGAGCTACAACTCCAGCCCCCAGAGCCACTTTCTTCTGCAGATATCTTAGATTCCAGGACCAGAGGTCTGATAGATAAGCATCTTTATGATAGGGAAATAAAATTGTCCCCAAGCAATGGCAAGCCTCCCAGAACAGATCATCCCATGATAAGACTGCCCCACTAAGCAGGAACAATTATCCCATGACAGAAACACCCTATTCCTATGAGGCATTTCATCCCCATGACAGAAGCACCCCATGACTGAAGGAAGGCTTCCCACCTACACAGAAGGAATCATCTCACCTAGGAATTAAATTGTCCCCCCTCAGGTGATGATAGCCTTCCCACAATTTCACAGAACCAGTTCTGAAATAATGATCAACCAGACCACGGCCTTACCAAGATGGCCTGCCAGCTATGCAAACACCCTACCCACCTAAGTCCCCAACTTTTTCTTTTATTATAAAACCTCACATTTTCTGTCAGCCCCTGAAAGAATTGTTGAAAGATTGTTGATCAATGAATTCCTAATCTAATCTTCCCTGTGTGGTCACACTGATTAAAGCTCTGTTAGTGCCCTTTACCATTGTTCATCTCTTTGATTGGCATATTGGGACAGGTAGCCACGTTTGGTCTATTGAGATCCCCAGAGCCAGGGCCTGCACCCTAGAACTCCAGAAATTACACTGGAACTTAAAGAAGTTATCAACAGATACTTCTATGTCATATCATTATTCTGCATAAAGGACACCTGTCTTTTTTTAATGAGTTTTTGTACCTTACTATAAAAATTCTCAAACATACATAAAGTGGAGGAAATAAAATGAACCCCCAGGTACCATCTTCAAGAACTCACAGACTACTCAGCTTCAACCACTACAAACATTCTTCTATTCTTATTTTATCTATTCCATTTCCCCTTTCTCTCTCCTCCACCCAAAGTATTTTAAAGCAAACAACACATATCATCTCTTTCTACCTGTAAAGATTTAGTGTGTATCTGTAACCCATTTTCTTAAAATAACCAATGTTACCACATTCAACAACAACAAAAAAAATCCTTATTATGTAATACAATACAGCTCAATCTTTCCCACCTACTCAAAAATATTTTTTAGAGATGGTTTATCTGAATCAGAATTCAAACGAGGTTCACACACAGGTTTGGGTTGTTATAATTTCTTTTAATCTTTTAACAGTTACACTTCCTTTTCATTTTTCCCATGTTATTTGTTGAAGGAATCATGAAATCTGTCTTAGAGAATTTCCCAATCTGTTCTGGCTGACTATATCCTCCTGATACTATACACTGTGGTGGTTAGCTGTACAGGATTGATTATATTCAGATTCCTTTTTCTTGGACAAGAGTACTTATATATAACAGTGCTATGTGCTTCCTGCATTACATCATTATCAGCACATTTGGATTAGATGATCTACTTTTAATAAAGCTGTGATCAATCAATTAGTTCAGATACTGTCAGCCTAATCCATCCCTTATAAAGATCCCATTAACCTTACTGATTACTTACATTCACTTGCCTATTATTTCTACTATTTCATTAGGGTAGAGAACTGTTATTTTTTTAAAATCCTATGAGTCCTTCTGTATCTATTAGATACAATTCTTCTGAAAGAACTTTATCTATAAACTATTCAGTTACCCAGTCCATATAAGCAGCAAAGATGTACAAATAACTCTTTCCCTTTATCACTTTTCAAGGTGATTGTGCAAACCACCTCTACAGTGACCAACAAGCTTTTTTTTTTTTAGTATCATTATAAGCTTGCAGAATTTTATGTTTTTCAACATAAAGATATCTTCTCCCCCCCCCCCTTTTTTATACTCAACTTATTCCATCTTTGGCCAGAAAATCCTTTAAGTTGGTTCTAGTATGGCATGACCTGTGTCTACTCTAATAGCTTCCTTTTTTCAGATACAAAATCCTAGGTTCATCCTCTGTACTTATAGACCTGGAATCAGTCATTGCTCCAGGAGCTTTGATTCCTTTTAACAGGAAATGATATCTGAAGACCAAAATCTGAGAGATAACAAGTGCTTATTTTTACTTGTCATCACTTCTGGGATTCTTCAATGAGCAAAGCTAAAAAAGTATTTTTTAGAAAGAGAAACTTAAATCCTGAGTTCATATTTTTATTTTCCATTTAAATTAAACATTTTTTCTTATTTTATCTTCTTGAAAATCTTGCTTGCTAATGACATTAAAAAATGTGCCATTGGCAAGTGTACTTGTTTTCTCCTACCATATATAAGCCCACAATAAAGGAATTGTTACTATCAGTATTATATGAAATCAAAGATTTCTTGTAGCATTTTTCTATCCTTCAGATATATGCCACTAGAAATATGCAACCAAAATATTGCATTTCAAAGTAAGTTGAAATAATTCTTCTCACTGCTTTGACCATCATCATACTGTTAAGTTCTTAAATTACTTTTTAGGAATGATTTTCTATTTAATTGGGGTTTTTTAAAAAATTGTATATGACATACATGGGAATAACATTAAAACTTTAGA